GCTCAATAAGAAAAGTTTTATAAGGCCTTTTTCGGTAACAGATGTATATATTATAATGATAGTCACTTTTGCTCACTTGTTGCCTGTTCATTTTTCTCTGATTTTCTGCACAGCAGGTAGTCTCAAACCTGCTAATCCTTTTGCATTTGGAAATCAGGTTTTTTAAAATTATGTTGTGTGCATATTTGTGCAAATCTATATAGAGGAGAAGCAAAATAGTTTCATGTGCTGTTCCACAATCCAACTGACATACATTGATTTACATTTTCTGAACAAATATCTTTTATATGGATTAGTTTGAGGCATATCATTCTTAGTCTAAATATGTAACCCCTTCCAAAGGGCCAGATTTTGCAGTCAGGTTTATAGAATGGGTCCCAGATAAACATCTAAGCTGAAATATTTTGGAACCTAAATATTTTAGGGATCCAGAGGATTCTTCAACATTGCAAAGAGTGTTTTATACTGGATCTGTACCCTTTCCAAATGGGGATTTAGCAGGCAGGCACTGTCATAAATTATTGTAGAGTAGCTAGACTATGGGGCTCTGATCTCATTGAGACACCGACTACCACAGTAAAAATAAACAACAACAATATCATGAAAGGTCCCTTAAATGTGATTCTTTCCTTCTGCACTGATTGGAATTGGGGCAAGCTTCCATCAAAATGTTGTTTAGGCATGTAGGTAGAATAACCAATATGCCTCAACTTCCTTCAGTATCAAGGTTCTGTAGAAATATCTGGGAATATTTGTTTTCCCATGTAACAGCTAATGAAAGCCTTAGCACTCCAGACCCTATATGAATTTGGGTCACATTCTGGAGGAGTTCATTTAAGGGGAAAAAAGTGCAAGGGAACAGATATTCTGCATCCATATTTTTACGCTTTGAAAGGATTTTCTTAGACCAGCACACAGATGTATCAAAAGCTTGCGTCTGATGAAGTGTGCATTCACCCACGAAAGCTTATGCTCCAATACTTCTGTTAAGTCTTCAAGGTGCCACAAGACCCTCTGTTGCTTTTTACAAAAGCTGATAATCACTTCACAGCAGATATAATACTACAAGTATGTATGAAAATTCATTTGATATCTTTTGAATTTCATATTTCTTAGATTAACAAAATTGGTATTTTTCTTTTTTTAATACCTTTATTAATTCTTATTTTTTGCACAACTCATCTTTCTAATACAGCCCATGATATGCTATATGTAAGCTGAGAGTGCCCTCCACCATACACACACACTTATTTTCTCACCACTCAATCAGGTGCCATTTTCATTGTTAGGGATCCAGTGACACACAACACTCACTCTGGGAACATTATTAGTGTAGTGTTCAAGAGTAAATGATACTTCTGTGGCATCATTTCTTTGGTTCCCATGACCTCTGCTGACCCAAGGCCAAGAGCCCCAGAGTTGTCCCTGAACCTGGGATTCTTGGATAGAAAGGTAGTTGTGCGGTGACTTAATCATTAGGCTGACACACATGTACCATATATATGTAGTTAATTCAGTAATCAGCAATGTGTGTCAACAAATATTTGAAAAACTCTTTAAAAAGTCACTTGTACTTTCGTAAACCCCACTCTATGTAGAACACATCCTTTAAGATAAATTCATCCAAGAGCATGCAAGAAATCAGTGATATCAACAGTGGATTCCAGATCACTGAGTGCCAGGTTTTAAAGTTCCTTTACTGCAGTAGGAGCAGTGAACAAATAATTAGCTCATGTATTTACCCCAATCTTGCTACCATAATCATTTTAGTTCTTCTTCTCCTAGCCTTAGTCCCATCTGTATAGGGTCAGCCGTTCAAGTCCTCCTTCCCCATTCCACTCTGTCTAGAAGTAGTTCCTGGAAACTCCGCAGCTAATCAGATGCTTTTGTATAACATCCCTCCATCCACCACAATAATTTTAGTTAAATCCTTTTATTTAATCTTGTTGTTTTGTCTGTCTTTCATATTCATGAGGATGTTTATCATCGTGGTATACAATCAACAAAATGTTCATGGATTTCATTGATGGTCTGGATGAGGAAATAAATAGGACGTTAACTATTTTTTTCAGAGATACTGAATTAGGAGGAATTGCAAACACAATGGAGGACAGAGAAAGAAAACAAAGGGACTCTAGAAAGATTAGAAATATAGACAAAAACATACATTCTTCAAAAATGCAAGTTAATATTTTTTGATCAAAAGAATCTGAAACACAGATACTCAATGGGAGGGATAGATCTAGAAGAGTAATACTGAAAGAGACCTAGACCTAGAAGCAAGAGCAAACATTAGACATGAGTTTGTAATCTGATACAGAGATCAAAAAGGCCAATGCTATTTTTGCATACACATGTGAAGACATCCTCTTACCACACATGTAGATAATAGTCCTTTTCTTTGTGGCTTTGATGTGACTTGACCCGAAATAAGGTGTTCATTTCTGGACACTTCATTTCCTAATATATAGATATTAAGAAACTGGGAGGAATTTGGAAAAAGCAAGAAAATTTGGTATGGAAAAATTACAAGGCAAAGGAAAGATTTGGAATGAAATATGTTTGCTAAGCAAAAACTAAAGTGGGAATATGTAATAGCCTACGATTTTAGGAATGGTGTAATCAGGAAGGAGGGAGAAGAATTGGTATAATAAAATTGGGTATAACTTGGGGTAATTACATGAAACTGAAAAGGGCAAATTCAGGTTGAATGTCAGGAAAAATTTCTTGATAGTGAGATCTAATAGGTTGTGGTATAATCTCCCATAGGAAGTGGTGAAAACTGCATTGCTTGTCTCATTTAAAACTAGAGTGGATGCAACACTAACAAATGTACTATAGGGAACAGTCCTGCACTGGCAGGTCAGTGGCTTTTCCATTTGTATCCTCTGATGCATGTATCTAGGAATTCTCATATACATTTCTCTAAATATATTGAATGTACATGTTGATTATTTTGTGTATGAGGTTTCTTGGTAACTACACTGAGTATACATTTTAATCACAATGGAAAGTGATAGCTTAGAAATGTTTTTAACCTTCATATAGGACTCAGTCCTGCTCACATTAAAGTCACTGGGAAAATTCCCATTTACCTCAGTGGTCCAGGATCAGACCTTTCTGGAGGATGTGACTAATGGTATATCTTCACTGTAGAGTTAAATCGAATTATCTACACTCTGGTTGCTTTTCGAGAGATAGTCTGGCTCAAGTTAGAGTGGCTACATTGCAAAATAATACTCAAGCTGCAGTGTCCACACTGGTGCTGCACTTGCTTATTTGTTGCACTAAGACTTCTGGTGGCATTTCCTTTGGTTCTTCGTGCTGCAATAAGCTGAACTGCTCTATGAATTCTTTCCCAGTGAATTGTGGGAAAATTTGTTAGTCTTTTCTGGGCACACGGGAAGAATTGTGGGAAGGCATTGGAGGACTAATGGCACTTGAGTGGAGCTAGCCTGTGTCCACACTACAGAATGGTTTAGTTAGCAACTAATAAATTTGCTAATTTGAGCTTTAGCCTATACCCGATAGACCAGCCATTTCCAATTAAAAACACCACCCTACTTGAGTTAAGGGTTTTTTTGTGTGGATGGGACTCGAGCTAAGCTTCATCACTCAAGTTAAAGCTGAAGTGAAGACCTACCCTAAGAGTTAACTGGACTAAAACTAACTGACTGAAATTTTGGAGTCACATAAACATTAAACCTATAGAAATTGCTAGTTGGCTATCTAACAACTTGTGTAAACTGGCACACACAAACAGTTTTCTGTCATTTCACACCAGTTGCATCCTTTGAAGATAAGTCTTTTTTGTTGTTGTTTACAAATCCACATCCAATGCACATTAGACAAACAAAATTGCTTCTTTATGATCTCTTCAAAATCTAGCTCCCAACATGGTGTGAAAGGGAGCTAGTAGATTGATGGGAACATTTTTTCTGAAACCTTGGGCAAGCCATTTAAATCGGTTACTGCTTTACCCTTGTGTGAATGTTAGAGAGAGCTAAACTTGCTGGGGAGAAAATTATATGCTCTTAAAACTTGTCTTGTACTGTGGTGTTTACATATGACTTCTAATATTGGTAAGAAAAAATGTGGGTTATGAAATCCTATTAAATTATTTGTTTTTACCATAGTTTATAGGGGGCTGTTCTGACATGCAGCACCCACAGAGTGCTAAGTATTTTACAGACAAATCATATATGAATATGATCCCTACCTCAAAGTTCTTACAGTCTAATTATAGACATGACACAAGTGAAATCAACAAACAACTGGAGAAGGAGGGAGGAAATTGGAAAAAGAGAGGTTGAGGGTTACAATAATAAGGTCCCACAATTGTTAGGTTTGTTATGTGTGGTGTTGGTGTTGGTTCTGTACCAATAAAATTAATTGAAGTTTTGCTATTGACTTCCAGGGGTCCAGGATCAGATAGATAGTTGATGCACATGAAGTTTGGGTAATTCCTATTTATGCTTACAGAAATTAATCCCCGAAAGGGGGGAAAAAATCAGAAAAGTTATAAAATACATACTTGTCCCTCATTGTTAGAATGTGTCCTACAAAATTGCACCTCAGCTATCAGCTAAATGAGGCTCATGTTAAAATAATCTTCATTATGGGCTTGATCTTGCTTCCACCTAAGTCAATTAGAGCTTCAGTGGGAATAAGATTGAGCCCTAACCCAATATCTGTTTAAAAAAATCAAAATAGCAGTGGTATTATAATGAAGTTACAGTGTATATAATATCATCTGGAAAACAATATTCAAGTAACATTAACTCCTGCATATTCAAAGGGGTATTCTGCTCCATGCTTCTGTAGTGAAAGAATCAATGCACTAATTAAAAAGGTGAACAATCTGTTTAAACTGTATTAAGATTTTATCAAGTGTACATCAAGGCAGTTACACACCAGACACATCTTTTAAATACTAAATTTGTTTTTAAATTTCAGTAAATATTCCATATAATTATTATTCTCTATTTGTGTTTATCCAGAATGCGGCAGATCAAATAGCATTCCGGGTTGCAGGAGGACTCACAGCCCTTGAACACATTCTTCAAGTAGTGATTTCATCCACGAATCTGAATGCAGTTTTACGGATTCCTCCCAAGTATGTATGGTGCTATAGTTGCCATTTTGAATCATTACTAGATTATGCCATCACTGATGGGGGATATTTCTTTTCCACTAACCCCATTTGACTTTATTATTTATCTAACTGCTTGCTGCTCCTTCCTTGTGGTGTAGATGTTAAAAACCAAGGGCCAAAATCTACCCTGCCATTTAAGTTCCAGATGGAAGACCGTATTTGGCCCCAAAACTCTAGGATCAGTTTTAAGTCTGTAAGTGTTTCACTGTTTCTGTTTCTTTGAGAGGTGATCTCCCTGCCTATCCAGAGTGAGGAATGCAGCAGAGACCTATCTCTCTGTAGAGAGGAGACTCACATTTTAAAAAAGTTAGACTATCAAGGTCCCTGTTTTGTTTTTGGTTTTTTTAAGTGCTTTTATGTGTTGTGATCCTAACTTGATCCAAAGTGAAACAGTTGTTCCGAGATATCACCTTAGATTCCTCCTGTGCCTCTGACACATTGGGCAGTCCAGTTCCTCCACTGGTTACAGTTGCTCGCTGGTTGTGGTGCTTCTTCCCAAGTGATGCCAGCATATATAGTATCTTCTGTCACTGTCTGCCAGTTCATCCTTGGCCTTCCTTGCTTTCTCTCTCCTCCCTCAGGTGCCCAGTTCAATGCTTGCTAAGCATGTCTCCCATCTTCCATATGGTGTACATGTCCCAATGACCTGAGCTTTCTTTCTTTGACGATATTTTCTAACACTGCCTGCTCTTTGATCTTCCTGACTCTCGCATTTGTTATTTTGTCTTTCCATGAAATGTGTAATATCTTCCTCAGCCATCTGTGATGGGCAGCCTTCAACTTCTTTTTATTAGCCACTGTCATCAGCCAAGTCTCTGCTCAGTATAATAACATGTTCAGTACAATCGCATGGTATAATAATTTAATTTGGTATGGAGACCTCTGTCTCACCACATGTTCATCCTTCCAAAAGTGTTATTTGCTTTTCCTGATCTCATTTGAATATCTTTATCGCAGCTACTTTCAGATGTCATGACACTCCCCAGATAGCCAAACTCTTCTACCTGTTCAATTTTTTTTCCATCCGTGTAGACTTTTGCATCTATTGTTCGGTTTCCTACCTTCATAATCTTGTTTTCTCTGCATTTACTTTCAAGCCAATTTTTGCTGCTTTCTGTTCTATCTCTGATGTAAGGACAGACATTCCATTCCATGTCATACTTAGTAAAGCAATATCATTGGCAAACTAAAGATCATGTAACTCATCAGTAGTACCACATTTTACATCATTCATGATACCTTTTGTTGCCTGCTTCATCACCCAGTCTATTGCTAATGCAAAGAGGATTAGTGATAGCACACACTCTTGTCTAATTCCAGTCACAATATCAAACCACACACCTAGGTCTGTGTCTGATCTTACTAAGTGTATACTTTCATTGTACAAACTCCTTCAAATGTTGAGTAGCTTGAATGGTATAGCAATATTCCTCAGCGTTTCTCTGTGGACACTATCAAGCACTTTCTTAAAGTCAATAAAGTTGATTAAGATGGGTTTTCCCCCCAAGCGGTAGGTTTTTCTGGTGATTTGTCAGAGAGTGAATATCTGTTCACACAATGATCTGTCTGGAGGGAACCCAGTCTGTTCGTCTCGTAATATTCCATCCGCTGCTTTTTTCATTCCATGCAGCATAACAGTAGCCAATATGTTGTCCAGAATTGATAGCAATATAATACATCTCCAGTTTGTGCACTGGGTGAGGTCATCCTTTTTTGGCAATACCGTGATGATGCTATCTTTCCAGTCTTATGGCACTTGTTCTTTCACCCATATTTCATCACAGAGTTTTGTTAGCTGCTGGGCCAGAATCTTGCCTCATGCCATTAAGTACCTCTGGTTGAATTCTGTCAACCCCAGGAGCTTTGCCGTGTTTGATGTCTTTGATGCTCCTAGATATTGCTGTCTAAAATTGCTACTGGAAATATATCTAAGTTCACTGGTAGTGCAGGAATGCCTCATTATAGTGCATGAGAAATAAAAGGCTGAAGGTTAAGCATCAGGACCCCTAAAGGTGGCCAGGTGTCAGAATGGGCTGCAGTTGGACAGAGCTCCTGCAAAAATGTTAACTTAGAAGAAATTCATTAATAGCATGATCTCCTCCTTTATCTAATCTTTTAATTGTAATTTGTATCCACTTTAAGGCCCTCTTACACTGCCAGAGGAGAGTAAAGAGGCTTTAGTGTGATGAGAATTGGGCCCACGGTCTTCTCTCTTGAACTGTTTTCATTGTGAGTTTGGAAAACACCAGCAATATTTAGTGTACTACCAAACAGCAATACTTCATAGATTTCCTGTGGAGTTTGAGAGCTAAATTGTCTCTGTTGTAAAGTGTGATGAGACAGAGCTGCATCTCAAGAAAAAAAGCATTCAGAAGTAAAATGCCTCTTGGAATTCCCTGCTTGCCCTGGAAGGAAGGGAGAAAAAAATTGCTGTACTCCTTTTATGTCATGTAGCATCTGGCCTGCTCCACTGGTGAGCATGTAGGGATGACTCCTTTTCCAGTGAATTGTTCCTAGGGCAAGTAATTTGGTAGCAGTCTTTGCACTTCCTCAAGCACAGGAGCTGTGATTGTAGGCAGGGCCGGCTCCAGGCACCAGCTTCTCAAGCAGGTGCTTGGGGCGGCCGCTCCGGAGAGGGGTGGCAGGTCCAGGTATTCGGCGGCAATTCGGCGGACGGTCCCTCACTCCGTCGCGGCTTTTTTTGGTTTTTGTTTTGGCTGCTTGGGGCGGCCAAAACCCTGGAGCCGGCCCTGATTGTAGGTGACCCTTATATGTGCAAAGGTGAGAGTCTTGTCTCCTTTCTCACACTGTGTGGCCACAGTTTATCCCTAACTGTTTAGAATGGCATTTTTTTCTTTTTTACTTTTTTTTAAAAAGTCTCATTTTGGCAAGGTTTTGTTGAGGGAGTTTGAGAAAATTGTGTTTATATTACTGAGAAAATTGTGTTTAAAGTTTGCTAGACAGTATGAAAATGTATTAGTTTTGAAAGGAACTTGCTGTGCTGATAAATGAAAACCAACGTCAGCTGCAATGTTCATATAACTGAAAAAAAAATCATAGAAGATAGAAGCAAAACATTTTTTCTCCTCTTACATATTAACTACCCACCCTGTGTCTGGTTCCAATGGTTCCTTACTTTCATGAGCACTAAACTTACTATTTTTAAAGTACTTTTTGCTTAAAATGTAATACTTTATATTAACACATAAGCTTTTAACTATCTCTGAACTGTGTTCCCAAATCAAATATCTACAGAAAACAGAGATAAAGGTTAATCTTTCTATCTGTTTTATAAATCTAACAGATTCACAGAGAGACATCTGTAACAATAATTTTGCACCAGTACTCAGAGTGATTTGTTTCAAGTTATTATAAATTGCAATCTCTAGTAAGCATCCACAGATATAAAACGTAACTTTTTTTTTCAGAACTAAAAGAAAACAAACTGAACTCTTAAAAACACATCATTCAGGGGTGGCAAACTGTGGCTCCAGAGCCACATGCGGCTCTTCAGAAGTTAATATGCGGCTCCTTGTATAGGCACCAACTCCAGGGCTGGAGCTACAGGCGCCAACTTTCCAATGTGCCAGGGGGGGAGGGTGCTCACTGCTCAACCCCTGGCTCTGCCACAGGCCCTGTTCCCACCCCACCCCTTCCTGCCGCCTCCTCTGAGCCTGCCATGCCCTCACCCCTTCCCCATCCCCTCCCCAGAGCCTTCTGCATGCCACGAAACAGGAGGTGCGGGGGGGGGAGAGAGGCGCTGATCGGTGGGGCTGCCGGTGGGTGGGAGGAGCTGGGTCGGGGAGCTGATGGGGGATGCTGACTTACTACTGTGGCTCTTTGGCAATGTACATTGGTAAATTCTGGCTCCTTCTCAGGCTCAGGTTGGCCACCCCTGCACATCATTGAAATGAACAATGTCTAACTGTCTGACTGCAGGGTGTGGTATAACTTACTCTGAAGAAAATAGAGTTATAGCAACCTTCTCTAAGTGAAAAGAATGTGTTAATACACTGAATCTAGGAGTCTCTTGAGAATATCACTAATAATGCTGTCAGACAATTTTGATGAAATGATGGACCTTTTTAAAAAGACTCTTCTCCATTGGAAGGAATCAGTAGATCTCTTTCTCATCCAGGTACAAATAGGCATTGCTGTATTATTCTCAGCAAAATCATAGAAAAATCTCTTAAGGTTGTTTTTTTCGTCTATATACAAGATGGCAAGACCTTGACTCAATATTCAAATTCTGCCCTTCTAAATACTGGCTTCAGCATTCACTAGTGCATAAATATATTCAGGAATGATGGATGATAATGGAGTATTATGGGGAATGATGACTTACGATTAAAAGAAATAAAATCAGATATTTAATTTTAATTAGTTTTATTAACACAACATTTCATTTGGTACTTCTTTTAAAAAGGTATCCTACTAGAAGCAGTCACTTGCAACAATTATTTTATGTGAAAAAATAAGAAATTTTACTCCTTATTTTATTCTTTTCTTCCAAATAAGCCCTTTTCCTTTTATGTTGCATTCATTGTATGTAGTAGGCTATCAATCTGTAGCTTGCAGCTTTTGTAAATTGCCCACTGTTCTCAAAGTCTTCCATGTCTTCACAATAGCTCTGGTCACTGAAACATGCTACCAATTGAGGAGGCATCAAAAATAGCAATGGACCTTTATACTGGAGTATTTAAATAACAAGACAGTTTACACTTGAACAATGTAGTTTTGACTTGGAGGAGTACCAAATTATCTTCAAATGCATAGCTCAGAACTTTCTTGAGTAGAGGTTGGTTAATTAGCATCGCTGTTGCCCAGCCACATGCCATTAACCGTTGTATCAAATTCAAATATGTTTATGTTTATATTTAAAATACTTTTTAACCAGTGAGGCCTGCATGTTGGGAATGCAGTTGCTAGGCGGTCGTGCATTATAGCTGGGAAATATTGTC